ATTTATAAAATGGTCCACAAAGAGCAAACGGGCCTTCTCACCACCATTCAACCTCAAGGCCCATAAAAAATGTTGCATGAGAAACTCTCTCAGATGGATTCAATGTTCTGCTAAACTTGTAACAGTGCACAGGGATTAAAGCTTTCTACGACCAGCGTCAGTAAACCTAATTTAAAATCGACCACATTGCTTATAAATAGGTGAACATCACTGGCATATAATGGCTATTCTATCTTTTAGAACATTTATATTTTATGCTATGTACATACTCAGCCTCTGTCACAGAGTTTGACGTGTCCTTTAAAGAGACTTTCCTAGAAAATGACTGCCATGATTTTAAACTTGTGTGGAAAGATAACAGAAAACAATTCTTTTGAGATGGGCTTGCATTCTTTTCCAAGGAGATTAGCACCGTTAGACTGTCGTTCTGTTAAGAAAAGGTATGTGTTATGTGTTGCCTATAAACTTGTCGGATTAGTCAGAAGAGACTAATCCTTGATGAACAGAGAATATGTCCAGATCCTTGATGAACAGAGGATAAATGATGCTTTCTTTCAGACCTGTTCCACAACATATTCTCTATTTGAACTCATGTGTAAAGACCTACAACAAAAACCCTACCACATCATACTTCCTCAGCCTCACTCACACTGTCTGTCCCATGCTTAGGAGTGCTATGTGTATGCAGGGAGAACTAATTCAGCATCACCTTAAACAAATGTGTATTTTACATACCATCTCATTAGAGTGTAGTGTTTAGTCAAATGTAGGCTCCACTGTAAAGGGACTTAGACTTTTCTAACTTAAAAAGAATATTTTCTTTATATCAACTTGGTGGAAAATTTAAATGTCTCAGTTAACAGCTTGACTGCTCAAGATTCCTTACATGGCTTTATCATAATAATATTTTCCGAGCTCATTTTCAAGCATAAATGAGTATCAAATGACAAAGCTAGTGAGAAAAATGTCATTTCAAACCCAATTATACTAACACTAGAAGTTAAAGCAGTATTGGTCTTAAAAGCACACATTTACCAAGTATTGGTGGGAAAAGATGAACACTCCACACGCTTGCCTTTATTATTTCCACAGTTTCCTTATTTTAAGGGTATAAGATGGTTTCAGTGTTCACACAAAGCCTAATATCCAAGACTTTTTACAGTATGCTACTGATTCTTACCAACATAACCTATGCATATATGCATTTCACTTTTCAGTCTTAGAGTAAATAATACAATGTCCCATAACAACCCTAAACATTTTCAAAAACTTTCTCATGCTTTTGCATTTGTATTATCAAGGAACTTTCAAAAGAAGATTATTTTCACTAGTGGAACCCCGACATGGTCTGGGTCCCCCTAAAAGGCCATAAAATAGAACTGAATGACTGTAGTATCTAACCCCATAAACCGTGTGTGAACAACAGAATTTTACACAAGCCCACAGCGTTGCTGGGTCCCAGTGTTATTTTTTTAACCCTCTAGGACATTATGCAGCCTCAAAAAAATCTCAAATTAATAATTTTGCATGGAGTATTTATTGCAGATATATACAGGTATCTTCCTTGAGGTATATAAAAGAAATATACTTCCTAAGTGTCCTGATTCTTACTGCAGCTTATATGTGACCTTTTTTTCCGAATTTCCACTGAATTAACTGGCCATCTAGGTATAGCACATTTCATTTGAAAAATTTTTTGATTAAGCAGCAGGAGATCTGCTAATACAATCTATATGAGGCACATTCTGAAGGCTTCATTTTCATCCCAGATAAACAGGTACCGCTGGCAATACAGAGCATCCTAGGAAATATGACTCTGCACATGTTAGGTCTGAGAGTGCAGAAACAAACTGTCAAAACAGAAAATAATGTGTGCTCATGGTATGCAGACATGATTACAACTTCCTCCTTTTACAGTGATGCATAACCACATTCTGACAATGATGTGTCATCTCATGTTGCAAGAGAATGAAGGGCAGGGGAGGGAAGGAGCTAGTTAGAGAGGTAAGGAAGAAAGAAACTAAAAGGGAAGAAAAGAAGGAAAGGAGGGAGAGGAGGAGAAAAGAAAGGAGGAGGTATGTTACTATTAACTCCTTCTTGACAATTTATCTGAAAATGTTGTATTTCATCCACTCTTTGAAAGGGAAAACTATCTTTTATAGCTATGATGCTTTGATTTGCAAATAATGACTTTGTCATTCCATGTTACAATTAAATTCAAATCAACAACATGACTGTTTCTTGCAGACTAAAAAGCTGAATTTTTTTAAAAAGTACAGATATTTATCTTCTGTTTTCAGATTTTTCTATAGATCAAGTTAAAAGTCCATCAACATAAAATAAAAAGAAAAACTTACAACTATGAAATATTCACAAAATGTAATTTATAATTGTTTCATCATTTTAAAATGAAAAAAACTTAAAACCATAAATTACACACGAATAAAATTAATGTTTTTATTTTATTTTGTTCTTCATACAAGGAATAAAAATTAAATCACTATTCAGTATATAAATGGGATTTACAACATAAACCTAATTGTACACCTTTTTCATAATTTGGAGTTCCAATTTTAAATTTCACAACTAAATTGTTAAAAACCATATAAATTTACACAATACATAGTAAAAAGTTAATTTATTGATTTCTTCTTGTCTCTCACATTGTCTCTTGCAGCTTTTTGAAAAAGCAAGCAATTTTTTGGTGTTAATGACACTAACTAAAATAAAGATATATACCATAGGCCATAGCAGTTTGATTATGGAACTCTCTGGGTAGTTTGTTTTTTTGTTTTTTTGTTTTTTAATTTTTTAAATCAATACACTGAACAAAATTTAAAATAGTTTGTTTCACAATAACTTGAATGCATTCCTTAGCAAACCTGCCTTACCATTTAATGTATTTAAAAAAAAAATAAATATTTGAAAAGTGTATCCACAATGTTCCTAAGAAATGGTTTTGAATTCCAGAGTCCCAAGGAGATGAATTGGCTGTCAGATAACAATGTGCTTCCATCAGATGGACTTGGCAGTTGTAAACAAAAGGAATTTTCTCAGCTTTTCCTCACAAATATGAAATATTTGCTCTTGGCCAACAGCTGGGGTGATTTAAAGAAGTCCTGCATATATATTAGTTTTCATTCAAAATTACAAATCCTCCTCCCACTCTGAAACATCTGACTTAGTCTTAGTAGAATAGAAAATTGTTCTGAGATGAAGTGACATTCCCAGAGGAAGTAAAAGTCAAAAAATAGTACCTACTTACAACTCTAATCAAATTTCAGAGCATATAGCATCTGGTTAATAAGTTTTAGGAAAAGTTAATTTAATCAAGATGAAAGTTCAGACAACACTCCGAAGTGACTTGAAAAAGAATGAGAAAGTTTGTTTAGTTCTAGTGTTCCCGAAAATATTTAAAACAACAATATAACCAAAATAGAGACCACAAAAAAAGCGATCAAAATTCCTTCAATGGTTTGGAAGTTAGCAACCAAACTCAAGATACTTTCCTGTGAAGACTAAAAGTTATTCTTAAAAACATAAAGTTTAAATGACAATTTAAATTATCTATTCATTTTAGCAAACATTTGAATGATACTGATGCTTTCTTAAAGATTAAACTACCTTTGCAAGTTACTTACTAGGAATTAGCTAATCATACAGTCTATGAAGGAGATCAAACAATAAATACTTTCAGAGTATTTTTTATATATTTAGAGACAGGCTATGAACTTATAAGCTTTGTTATGAATGCAACCAAATGTTTACCGATTTTTATTTCCCTCTAAAATTAGTTGAAAGTAGTGATTTAAAATTTATTTTGAATTCCACAATTACAGTCCTTGTATTGTAATATTTATCATAGAGAAAGGCTAATAGTAAAATAAAGTAGACATTTCTGTGTTTTACTTGAGGTGATAAAAATATAGTCTTAATATTTATAAATATCTGGGAAGGGGACAAACCATTTTTCTTCTTATGGACAATTACAGGGAATTAACTTCTGCCCTTTTACCCAGTGAACCTGAATATGTGTTAAGCCTAAAATGAACGTTAGATTTTATTATTTTTTGAAAAAATTATTTTTACTTAAAGTGATTATTAAGGCAGGCATGAAAACATATTAAAATAATTGTTGCTGCTTTTACTAGAGCTTTTCTTTGCCTTCAAAATGCAAACATATCAAACCCGAATAATCAAGACATGTAAGACATACAATTCATACTTCAAATTAAAAAGTCTGTAATTTATCTTAATTATTTCAGACAGAGGTTTTGTCTTTTGCAGAGATATACTGCAAACATTTTTAAAGTCCTCAAGTAATATGTAAAAAAAAGTATCTTAAAATCTGAAGTCTACATTTAATTTTCTTGGGAAGGAAACCAACTTTGAATGACCACAATATGATAACACAGTTCTTACTTTCATAACCTTTAGATTATTTTTCCAGAATAAATATTTTTAAAGCTAGTATAGAATAAAATACAACTGTGGAAAGTATTAACAATAACAACGTTCACCATGCTAAATATCAAAAAGCAAATCTTTATCAGTAAAACATAAAATATTTCATCAAATGTCACTGATGACACACAAAGCACCACCATGAAAATGAAAATAACGATTAGCACAACTTCTCTCTTCCCTAATGCACCATTAATGCAAATAAAAGTACCACCTTTCTTCCTACATGAGCAAATAAAACAAATCAAATGAAGAATAAGAAATGCTTGTACATCTTGAAATACCAAAGCAATGATTATTAAGGAAACACATGTCTCGGAAAAGTAACTCTGTGTTTTTGAGCTTAATTACAAGTTAGAATTATTTATTCAGGAACTGTATTTATCATAAGTTAGTCTGAAAACCACTGATTCACCCTCCTTTTTCTGCAAATTTTCAAACCCTAAGACATGAAATTGAAGACATGATGCTTGAAATTTAAGTGTTTTTTAAAAACACAGTTTTGTTGTCATAACTTTGGAATTAAAAATACTTACAGTCTCTCTAGTTCTTTAAGATCCTGGAATGCTCCTCTTTCAATGGTGCTAATCTTATTCTCCATAAGCTGACTGAAATGCAAAATATAACATGCTTCTTAATGTTACTACTCACCATCTGAATAAATTTCAATTCAGCAACTGAAGATTTGTAAACTCTTTCCTTTTATAAAGTTAAATTTTGCTCTGAGTTGAGATCCAATATCAAATTTAAAAATAATATATCTGAGTGTACTCATGGAAGGGAAATAGCAGGGTCCGCACCACAAAACTTAATACGAATGCAGTTTCTCATGAGATTTACTGGTCAAAAGTCTGACCCTTAAACTAAGAGTGTATCTGAAGAGTAATCCTTCACACTGAAGCTTTGATAGCTTTTTTTGGTACACTGTTTTTCCACTTAACCAAAGAATCAAAATACAGTAATTCATCATACACATACTTCAATTCTGTCATGGATACACATCAGCAACTGGAATAATTTGTAATGACCAAAATGTGTCTCCTAAAACTTAGAACACTGAATGCACAGTGGTCAAAACTGTATGGCTACTGGGATGTCAATATTTACAGTCCTGTGGGTGAGAACAATTTAACATTACATTGACTCTCAAGTGGTGGTTTACTCACAGCTAATTTAACCCACTAATTAAAGAAGTAATCATATTGCAACAATTTTATAGAAGCTACAGAAACACAAAATAAAAAAACCTCAAAATATGACCAATGGAGCATTATACACCCTGCTGAAAAGTTTGAATGGTTGATTTTAATGCTTGAAATTAGATTTTTGCAAAAAAAAAAAAGAACCTTTTGGTTATTAATAATAAAATACAGATCCACTTAAATATTTTAGTTAATTTCAACTCCTAAAAGTATCAAATGTTTCTTTTTACTTATTCATTTTGTGAAAACAATTATTCAACATTTTTATATGCATAAAGCGCTTAGGGTATGGTATAACAAAGATCTGAGGTCATTTCTGGATTATTGGTTCTGTGGCATGCTTCCAACCTTAAAAAAAAAAAAAAGCCCCAACTTTTATTAAAGGTTGTTGTACAATGATAAACACACAAAAAAGGAAACCATGAACTTTTAAATTTTTTATGTTACTGTCATCAGAATAGTTATAAAAACTGAGACCAGCAATGACTCAAAATATGCAACCTTAAAAAAAATTAAGAAAAAATACAGAGGATGCACTTACAGAACTCTTAGGTGTCTAAGACCAGCAAAATCTGTCTTCGTAATTCTTGTGATGTTATTTCCATTTAAATCCCTAAGAGAAAAACCAGAAAGTGAAAGTTCCATTTTATTTCTATGTGAACCTGCTTCAAGTAAAGTTTAGAGTAAATCAGAACTAAAAGTTAATTCAATTACTAAAGTAGTGTACAAAGTATGTAGGAAGGAGAAGAGGATAACCTTTAAAAGGATATTTTAAAAATGACTCAACACATTTGCAAAGTTCATTCTTGCTGGCGTATGACAAGAAAATGAAGTAGTTACATTATCACAAAAAAGTTTGTTGTGTGTGTTTGTTGTGTTTTGTGTATGGGAGAGTGCTTTCCATTTTTGTTTCTATAAGGATTGTATATTAATTTCACAGGTATTCTACTATTTTATTATAATTGTTAGGCACCCCCCCACCAAAAAAAAGAAGTTCCCTTCAGGAGGTTAAATACTCAATTTTCTCATGCTATTCAGGAAGAAATTGTATAAAAATTCAGAACACTATCCTTAGGTAGCATGGTGGCAAAACTTCCGAAGGCACAGAAGAAAACTTAGTGCCATCAAAATAACTGCACTTAAAAGACTTGCATTTCTAGGCATTTACCTTCCAACAAGTCTATTTGTATAAAAACTTAACTCTTCATTTGCAGCTCAGGGAACCCCGCTGTGATTGTAAAGTGAAAACTACTAGCAGGGGCAAGAATGGAAATAGTATTCAGGCCCTGACATTTTTGTTCAGATTTCTGCAGCACTTTTCCTTCAGGAGTCACGATCTCCTTTTCTGGCATTTCAGGTCAAGATCTAAACTTGCCCTGGTTCCAATCATTTCAAGTAAAATCAGGCTTTGCTGCGGTTTGAATGCTCTTCATAGAAGCAAGCTCTCTATCACCTTTGACTCTACAACATCACTTTTGAAATCTGTATTCAAACTGTTTCCATGATACAATTTTACAAGTCAGCACCCAGTAAACTATTTTCTGGAAACTTTTTGTTGATCTCTCATAAGGATGCATATTTTTTCAAGGACTTTGAAACTCAATTGCTACGCTCCCCCTTCACCCCCACCCACCCAAGTGCATTCCCTTTTTGTTGAGTAATACATGTTCGTGCTTAAACTTTAAACTGTCCTGAATGGCATGAAATGACAAATGCTAAAACAGAATTCTGCGTGGCTTCCCTTCCTTTCTACCCAACCCACTTCTCCATGCTAACTAGAGTACCATGCAGTTGTTTCTAAAATTGTTGGGCTACTGGATATAACATGAATCTCCACCCCCACCCCCAACCCTACACAAATGTGGATCGAATCCCGACAAGGCACCCCTAGTAGTGTCCCGATTTGGCCAGCTCGGAGAGGTGAGGAAGGAGTAGGGGTAACCTAGTGAGGCTGGGGGTAGACAGCCATTTGCAAAGGAAAAGGGGGCTCAACTTGGGCCTTAAAACTGAGGGCGAGAGAAATGGGTTGGATAAGAAGGGCGAGTTGAAGTGCAATGGGCTGCGAGGGTGGAGACGTGCGGGTCGGAGCGCCTCCTCTCCACGGCCCGAAACCCTTACACCCCGGGGGCAAAATGGTCGCGGGAGGAGTCCAGACGCGCTGGCCCCCACCGGCCTAGCCCCGCGCCCTTCGCTTCCTCCTGGCACACACGCAACCGCGAGAGCGGATCGTGCCTAGGGCGGCCGGACTGGCGCGGGGCGGCGGCCTCGGCGTTCACAAAGAGAACGGCCTCCATGCTCCACTTCGCTGAACTCTGGAAGCGCCCCACCAGGAGCGCGTGGGCCGTCAACACCGGGTCTGCATTTACTTCTTCATTAGAGACTCGCAGAGACAGGGAGGCGGGGACGTCTGCGGGCAACAGAGCGCGAAGAGGGGAAGGCAGGGGAGCTGCTGCCACGTGAAGGGGCGCAGAAACTGCCAGAAAGGTGGATGGGGACGCAGGGGTTCAGCAGGAAGGGCCGGAGCGGGCAGCCGGGCGCCGCAGGGTCGCCGCATCGGTAAGACCCGGTTGGGCTAGTTGGTGCTGGAGAACCAGCACTAACTTCGCTTAACGGATGGGACACGGTCCTCCCTGGCAGTCGCCCGCTGAGACAAGTCCCTTGGGGCCTGACGCCGTCTTCCCCTCCCTGGAGAAGTGGGGGGCGGGGGACTGCGCGCGGCTACTATGCGAGCTGTCGCCGTCCTGGGGCACCCTTCTCCCCGCGACCTGTGAGAAGCACTCCCAGGCACTCCATGACCCCTTCTTCCTACCCTTCGCCCCCAAGGAGGGTGACACAAAATCGGGGAGGGCAAGTTTCTCTCTTTTGAGTCTCCCTGCTATCCCCTCCGCGCCAGCCTTAGACAAGAGCGGGGACTGGGCTCTGAAACCGACCTGGAGTGCTGGCAATCGCAAGGTGACTCCGTTTATGGAGTCTGGAGAACAAAGTGGCGTCTCACTCGCCCAGGGCATGCTCCAGAACTTGTTCCCTACGTAGCCGCTCCCCAGCCCCAGAAAACCAGCCCTCAAGGAGCTGCGAGTGGCGGGACGAGAGCAGGGGACGGAGAACTAGCGCAGCTGCCAGGGGACCCGCCCCTCCTTGGACAGTGGCCCTTCCCTGGCCAGTGCCCTCCCGGAGAGCTCAACCCCAGGATGCGCATGTGGGAGAGCTAGTGAGGGCTGCCCCAGGCACAGGACCCTGAGCTGCCAGGTTCCTCCAAGGGAGGCAGGGGTGCACGGCCCGGTTGGGGAGAGGGAAAGACTAAGAGTGCATACTCACAGTCTCTCGGTGTTGCGGGGGATATTCCTGGGCACGCTGCGCAGCGCCAGCCCGTGACAGTCCACTGTGCTGCCCGAGCAGGAGCACTGCGCCGGGCACGCCTGCGGTGCCACCGTGTTCAGGATCGCCAGCACTAACCCCAGCGACAGGGACAGCATCTGCCAGCCAACGCCGCGCATCTTTCCCCGCCACCTCCTTCCTCGCCGTCACTGGGGGCTTTCTTTAGCTTTATGCTCCGAGGGAACCGCGCAGTGTCTGAGGCCCAGTGTCCGGCGGGGCTAACAACCCAGAGTGCCAGGGGATATGTGCACAAAATAATATGGAACAAGACAGTAGAACCCACTCAGGCACACGCCTCCCACCTCCCTCTCCACCCTCCTCTGGCAGAGCAGGAGCTCCTTGGGCAACTTTAGGTCCTGAGGATAAATCAGCCTGGCCAGGGCTGCAAGGAGACCCCAAGAGCAGCGGAGAGGAGATCACGCGTCTTCTGTCTCCCAAGGATGAACTTGGCGGTAAAAGAGCTGGGTCTTCAATGGCCTCGAAGATGCAGGAGCCGGTTGTGGGGGGGAGGGCCGTCCTCTGATCCCACGCACGCTTCTGCAAATCCGATGCCAGTGGCAAAGGTACGAGGCAGAAGAGGGGAGCTCAATAGGTATTACGGCCCCGATCAAAGTGGGTTCCCGAAGCTAGAAGTCGCGGGAGCCCAGCAGGCCCGTAGCAGAACGCGCGGGGCAACTGGGCATGGCGCGCGGGGGCGCACGGGGCAGACGCGCAGTTCTGGGGGTGCACGGCTCTGGACTCTGCTCACTCACGCGGCCTCTCCCCCGCCCTCGGCTCCGCCGCAGCCTGGACAGGTCCTCGCGGTCTCCAGATAGCCAAGGATGGTTTACAAACACACATGCACTTCGCTGAAGGATGTCTGGGCAATCCCGCCTCCCGCTCGGCGTCCTTGGCGACGCTCTGCACCAGGACCTGCCCCGAGGTCACGCAGAAAAGACAAAAGGGCAGTTGGGCCGCCGCAGCCGGGCAGAAATATCCACTAGTCAGCACCCCGACGAGGAACTCCAAGAGGCCAAGTGGAGGACGAGAGCTGCTGCGAAGACTGAGTGGGGACTGACTGGGGGCGGACTTAAAGCCAGGCAGACCGGAAGGAGTGGAAAGGCAAAGGCCAAGGTTGGAGGTGTCAGCGTCCTGCTGGGGCGTACTGGAGAATGGCTCGGTGGCAGGTGGGCGGGAGGGATCCGCTACTCCAGGCACAGCCAGGCGGCAGCTGAATGGCAGTCGTGTGTGCGCGCGTGTCAGCCCCGCTTGTCTCCCGGATACGCCGCAGCTCCGCGGCAGACACCTGATGGCAAAGGTGGAAGAAATAAGAGCCGGGTCCTGGAGGGCGCAGAGCCACGGCGGGCCCACGGCGGTCTCCCACTAGTGGTTCTTCCTTCTCAAAGTGCAGCAACTTTTCCCAGGCTTTGAATCCCGTCCCCCAAGGCCACAGTGGCGGTACCCCCGCCGGCGTCGCGACGCCGCCTGGCTCCAGGAGCTGCACCTGACGCGGCGGCCGCAGTCCCGGGTAGTCCTCCTTCCAGCCCCTTCCCCTCTCCCGCTGCTTTCCTGGCCTCCCGCTCCAGGGAACGAGGTGGGGGAGAGGGAGGGCGACGACTCAGAGCGGGGACTCGGTGGCTCTGCCGACTCCGGAGCCCCTGGCAAGTGTCTAAACAATAGGACGGACGCAGCAGCCCAAGTCTCGCTTGTCTGGAAGGAAGGTAGGTTGTTGTTGTAACTGGAGTTGTTCGCTGGGGCTGACTGGCGCTCAGCGCAGCCAAACAAAAACCCGGCCCGCGCCTCCGGAGCGGGCTGCGGGCCCCGGCGCTCCCCTTTCTGCTCAGCACTCCCGCCGTGCCCAGAAAGCGCGGCAGCTACGGCCTGCGCCTGGGCGCCTCGGCGCTCCCATCCCTCGCCGCCGCCTCCTCCTCCTCCGCCGCCGCCGCCGCCGCCTTCTTTTTTTTAACCACAGTCTGCGGCAGCCGCCGCCGCCGCCGCCGCCGAGCTCCGCCGGCCGGGCGCTTCCCAAATAAATAACACCAAGTCCGAAGTTGAGCCGGCGCTGGCCTTATATAGCCGCCCGAGCCCCCGCCCCCTGACCCCGCCCCTCGAGGCCCGGCCCCGCCCCCTGGCTGCGCTCGGGGAGCCTGCACCTCGCGGGGGAGAGGGGAGAGGTGAGGCCAGGGCTGCTAACGCTGGGCGGAGGCGGCGGCTGGCGGCGCGCGTTCCCGTGCGCCCTGGCTCGCCCCCTCACTCCCACGTCCGGGCAAACTTTGCCCGAAGAAGGAGCCACCCGAGCCCCAGTCCCCAACTCCTTGGCCCCAGAGGTGACCCGGACTCGGAGGTAGTCGTTTGCAGTGGCAGAATCGGGAAAGGGCGGCTTTGAACGCGGCTCATAAATAAACAGCCCTGCCAGTGCCTCTCCTGCAGCTTTTGCCGTGCGATCCTTAAGGGGGCTGCTCACTGTTTGCAGCACAGCAAGAGACAGAGAGACAGAAACAGAGAAATTATGATTTAAATTTAAGAAAAATCCTACCGAAATAGATCTGCCTGCGCTTACAGACACACACGTGTATTTTGGGGAGCTGAAAAGTTCAGTTTTTGCAAGTTGGAAAACAGCATTTTTAAACCTTCTTGCTTGCCTTTCTATCTCCAAGCCACCCCCTTCCGTTTAACCCTTCCTTTGTAGACACACACTTAACCACACCATGGTCAGTTGTTGTCTTGGATATGCAATACGCTCACAAAACTCTTAAGGGCTTGACTGTATCTGTGTGATTTTTACTCTCTTATGAGAGAAAGGAGGGGAAAAAATAAATCCCTAGCAACGCACATTATACCAGAAGGTTTTCTTTATTTCAGGGCAGTTCTGGATTTTTTTTTTCCCCCACTGTGTTTTGAAAGAGAATTTCCTTGTTTCATCTTGTCTCTTCAATGTGACGTACGTCTGGCAACAGCTGCCTCTCTCGCCCCCCTTTCCCCCTAGCAAGAGCCAATGTCACTGTAAGTTTGAAATGACATCTAAATGACTCTACTCCTTCTCTTGGATTTAATACGCATCATCTTGTTGTTCTTCCTCCCATTTCTACTTTAAGAAGCTTTCCCTGGAATCTGTGCAAGTCCCCGCCTAATACCAGCCTCAGATTGTAGTAGCTATTTGTATAATTATTAGAAGCTTCCTTGAAAGCAAGACCTGTCCGACTCTTTGTATTTCCAGCATCCATGTCTGTCACATAGTAGGTTTCCTCATAAGCAACAGATTTATTTAACTCAAGAATATACTCAACCTAAAATCTCTGCAATATCCTCATTAACGTTTTTCCTAGTTAACATTTTCTAAGATGTCTTTTCATAATGGCTACCTCTACTTACCTCATTTTGCCTGCCTTGGAAAACTTAAGCCTTTTCGAGGACATGCCCAAAGGCAGGGTACCATATGATAACTGAATTGGAACCCTTAAGATTACTCATTTTAATGCCACAGATTTATATTGCTCTATTCTTTTAAAACCTTCAAAAACATTTGACATTTATTAACTCATTTGTCCTTCTAGATTTTAGCTGAAAGGTCTGTTATGTAACTTCCTTGAGGAGAAGAAAAAAAAGCCCTTGTCACATTTTCTTGTAAGGAAAATGAGATAAAGAGCAAGTACCTGTCATTGAGGAAGGAGCTCCTCCAACCCTCAGTGAATTTTCCTTAGTGTGTACCAATAAATTTTGTGTAAATATGGTTACTGATACACTAATTTATTTAATTTCACAACTTTAATATCTTGTCAGCAACAAGAGGTGTTTGTGTTCAACTTTGTGCACCACATAGAATTGTTCCATATTTTAATTGCAAGAACATATCCTGCATTCCAAATATTTAGAAATAATATTATTGATATTGTCGCATAAGTGAAATTCACAGACGTAAGTTCAAGTTTGATTCTATCTCTGATCACTTTCTGTTTTGTGTAAAACCAGGGAGAAACTAACATACATAGCAACATGCCTACAGAAACTTCTTTTTTTTTTAATTTGATGCCAATTTAAATAAGAAGCTATTCAGCGGATTTCATTCAGAAAAAAGAAAGACTGTAATTCTTGAGAGGCATATCTTATTATTTTTTCTGTCATTAACTTTTTAGTTAATAAGGGGAATTTTATACATAAACAACCAGGTCTCCTGTTCTTTAAAATATTACTGTATTATTCCTTTAGTATTACTGCAGGATGTTTGTTGAGGGCCTTGCAGGCTTCAGTAACATTAACTTCTAGGTCTTAATTCTTTATGGATTATTTTGCTCCCAAATGAATTTCTGAGTTTCTCTTTGACTGTTAAACCCAGCCTGAAGAAAGCCTTCTGTGGTGCCTCTTGTCACCACATGAGGTCTCCATAAATCCTGACCTGGATTAAGCAGAAGTGGAATCCACTATAGCCAATATCTGAGTCTCCTATTATCTTGCAAAAAAAAAAAAAAAAAAAAAAATCCAGTTCCTACAATAATTTGAAAACAATGTTGACAATCACCTATGCAGCAAAGAAATAAAAAGCATTGGAATAATGTGTATGTTATTAAATGTCTAATAAACTTTGCATTTTTTGAAATAAAAAGGTTGTGAAGTTGGGTTACATGGGAAAAGAGAGGAAGAAAAGAGTTTATGAAAAAGAGATAAAGAGTAAAAATTATAGTTCTCTGTCTTTTTAAACAAAGGTAGGTAACAGTAATTGCACTGATCAAATTCATGAAACTTACAGCTTAATTCCTTGAATTTAACTGCCTTCACGTTACTATTTTCCATTGTTGCAATATGTGTTCATTTTAATTATTTGATATTTCTTTCATTTTAATTATCTGATATTTCTCACAATATCTTTGTATTGGAAACGTAGACATGGAACCTTAATATAATGGAAATTAAGATTTAACCAAAACTTGTTTCAAGCCTACTAAATTCCATGCTATTTGATAGAGTTACATCCACAGTGATGGTTGCCATTTCACTCCTTACAGTAGAGGATATTGGTCTTCATGCAAGTCGCAGCTTATTAAATGGCAGAGCTGGAACCAGAACCTAAGTTCTCTGATCTCAATTCTCAATTGATTCTTCTTCACCCAGCTGTATCTGTGGATCCACTGGAACTCGTGGGGATCAAGGAATCTACAGATCCTCAGGAATGATCACCCTCATACAGGAGATGGTCATGTCTCTCTACACACATTGCTTAAGGGCATCTACAGGGAGCAGTAAAGAGCTAGGGTCCTCAGCACCAGCACTCCAAGGATGCTGAAACCTGACCTGCTTCTGGACATAGCTTTGACTTTGAGATGATTCTCTAGGTAAGTGATTCTCAGCATATGGTCCCTGGACCAGCAGCATCATAATCACCAGGACTGTAGTTGGAGATACAGCTTCTCAGGCCCTAACTCAAACCCACAAAATCAGAAAATCTGGAAACAGAAGCCAGAAAGCTATGTTCTAACAAGCCCTCCAAGAGATTTTGATGTTCACTAAAATTTGAGATCCATTACTCAAGATCTGCTCTGTGTTTGTATCTGAGACACGTTAGTATGGAGAATGAAGCAGCAAAGAATAATAGGTAACACCTGCTGAATTGTCTTCAGCTTCTCTTTCCTGGGGGTTGACAATTGCAGGTTACTGATTACCTCTAGGGGGCACCAAAATATTTTGATGTACAGCTCCACAGAGGTAATAAGACTTTATTTTCCAACGAAATGGCCTTCAGAAGTGGAAAGGGCTTCCTAGTTATTACATCAGCAACCTGCCTGAATATGTCTCAACCCATTAAAAAATCTGTTATATTTATAGGGATTTTTTCCAGTTTAATACTACTTTTGTATGGATGCATTGATTCCCATTTCTCATGATTATTGTGAAAATTAAGACAGTATTTTTCAATCTAACAGCACAGGGCCTGGCATAGAGTTAGGTGCTTATTAAATAAAGGGTATTTCATTATTACTATTAATATCTGAAAATTTCTAAAATATTATATTTGTACTGTGAGAATAGATAACATATTTCCTTTAGTTATTACTATGATCCAATAGCTTCTTGTATTGAGTCCTGGGAAGGGCTGTGTAGAGGGTGATACTTTACAAGGAGAACAAGTCAACTTACAATAATCAAGCCCTGCCCAGACCTACAGTATTCCATGAACAAAAGAGTGGCGATAGATATAATTAGTTTCGTGCTATATGCGTCAGATAATATAAACTAATCTTTGAAGAGGTAAAGCTGGTTTCCCGCTGCCATAATAACTGCTTGTTGATTATGCAGTGAAATTAAAAGGAGAAGTTCTAAACCTTGATCAGCTAATAAGTGGGAATACATGGGTAGCTTTGGATATGCCACTTAGATCTCGCCTTAGTTTCCTTGTTTATACACTGTTGGGATTAGACCAGTTGAATCATAAATCCATCCTTCTGTTATTAGTAATAATATAACTATATTTATTAAGCAGTGTCCGTGTTCCAAACACTGGGCTGGTAACCTTACATATCTTAGCTTCTTTAATTTTCACAGCAATCCTTTGACTTGGAGACTATTTTTATCTTTGATTTATAGTGAAGAAAATTGAGGCTTACAGGAATTCATTCAGTTGACCATGTTCATGCAGCTAGCAAGTAGCAAAGTAGGCACTAGAATTCCAGTTCAATCCCAAACTCTGTTTCACAAACATTGTAATACCCTACCTTTCAAATTCTATGATTTGAGTATACCATGCAATGACTTATTCTATATATAATGAAGACAAAGATGTATTGGGGGAGGAAAGAGTGCAGTGGTTTAAAGTGACATTTGAATATTAAATGTGTAAGATACTTGAGCAAGAACAAAAGAGAATCTGCTGATAATAGAAAAATGATAGTGGGAAAAGTAAAGCAAAAGTTAGTTAATACTCGATGCAGGTTAAAAATACATTAATATCAAAACACCCAAAGGAAAATACACAGTAAAAATTTGAATAGTTTTATGAGTTTCAAACAAATTTTTAAATTGTTGATTTCCTTTAGCCATTGAGGAGAAGG